TTTTTATGGAATTTCAGAGCTTTGTAATTCGAAAAATATCTTCAGGAATAGTTTCTGAGCGGCTGTTTGAAAGTTGCAGATAAAATTGTTCGTAAAATGTTACTTTGTATTATAAATACGAAGAGCGCGTAATGACGTCCATAGCACTTCCAATGCATGAGCGCACATAATCGTCCAAAACGCTTCGGGGTACCAAAAGGTATATGCGTACAGTGTTGACCATAGGTATAGCAACAGTACGCCATTTCGAATACGGACATTTATAACCATCAAAAAAATTCTTTATAGCTCTTATTTTTGTATATGTTTTCATTCAAAATGCCTGTACGCAAAAACAGAATAAAATATACGACTAATAAAAGTGTATTTTAAACCTGCCTTATTGGCATATTTTAAATAATATTTTGTTAAATTTAAATTTTTGTATTTTGCATGGTAGCTCTGATTATTCTTTAATACCACCTATAAACGATTTTATAATTATTTTAAAAAGTCCTACAAAAGAGGCCGAAACGTTAGGTTTAATATAATTTCACCATGTAAAATTATAAAATTGTCCCTCGAACAAATTTTTAAACCGATCATAGTTCTATCTTAGGTTTGTCTTAGCTAGTTTTTATCCTCAAGCTAAGAGGGGTCGAAGAAAGCTATAATTTATAAACCTCTATAAATACAAAAACATTTTTTTTTTTTTTAATATAAAATAAAATAAGCTGTATAAAAATAATTATTTTCGAAAAGTGTAAATAATTCATATCCATAACGTATATTATAATAAAACTAAATAACACACAGTGGATCACAGAATTATTAGCTCCGACGAGAGTGATCTAAAATTTGACAAATATCAGGGAATGTTATAATTTTAAAATTGTAGGAAATTGTAAGAACCCATCACAGGTGACCAGCACATGTAATGCGTTAAATAATTTAAATTTTCGAAATTAGTTTCCAACTTCATTTTGCATGGCACATTTTATGCATGCCTGAATTAAAGCAGCGTTCATTTCGCTAAGATATCGACGACTGTACCCGGGGTGTTATCGCGGCGCAAACAAAGAGAGACCTTGAAGTACCATACCTCGAGAAAAGCTTTGTTGCGCACACGGCGATAACAAAGCAAACGTCTACTCTGTAATCTATCGCTATCGCAATTCAGCGCGAGTAGAAATGCATACCGGTGAAAGCTCAAGGTGCAAATGGCAGGTAGTCGGCATACCCCCGCGTGTAACCGTTGTTTCGCCTCGTTACCTTCCACGGATGAATGAAAGCGAGTGTCTCGTAGCCATCATTCCAAATACAGCGATTCCGCGATAAAAGTAGCCAACTCGAGTCCGCTTCTAACTACAGTAGGCGACATTGCTTCAGGAATCTACCCTTTTTGCTTCGATCCTTGATTTACCGTCGCGTGCAGCATTCCTCGAGCGACGAAAGGGGTGCAACTCTTATTCGAACACGAATCCCTCAAATTTTGGAACTTAGTAACGTTTTTCAATTTCAATCGTGGCTCCAGTTTTTTCAAAAAATTCTATTTTTTTCAATAGAGGAAGATATCGATCAGGGATGGTCGAAGAACTGTTCATTATTTTGGTAAGAAAGCGTTCGAACTTTTTAATTTTTCCTTATTTCCTTTCATACACTCTGAGAATTAGATTAGATATAAATGCTTATCTAATTTTAAAAAACATAAAGCGTGGGCTGAAGAGGGCCTCTGACTCAAAGAGCTAGCCTACACCTATTTTTGATTTTAAATTAAACTTGGTTTTAATCGAAATATCTTTGACTCTGGTATTTTGTTATACCATCAGAATTGTAAATCCTATCGCGAAGAAGTTTGACCACCACTTGTGCGCGACACTTTTCCGTTCTGACGCCAATATTATTGTGAACGGAATTAACTGTAACCGCTATAGGAGGATATTCTTACAAGAGAAAGAAATACACCTAACTGTGTCGATCAACAGAAGGTATACACCAGTGGTGGCCAAATCTTATCACGATAGACATAATTCACTTATCGCGAATATTCCTGTGATCCACATCCTCTATTGGAACGATATTTTATGTGTACAGTTACAAAGATATTATACATTACTGTTATGTTAAATTAAGAATGTACGTTTAAATCAGTATGTAAAAAATAACTAATTGAAAAAATATCTTTTTGAGAAAATAAGTACATTACAAATTAATTTCTTTCTTTTTGGTATATATATGTATACAAATTTTGTTATTTTATTATTTGTGGGTCACTGACTGTTTCAGATTCAGATCGTATTCGGCAATTGTGTTCCATATTAATTACTATGGTATTCAGGAGCTAGGATAACGGTTTAGAAGAGTCACGTGTGGCTTATAAGCTACAATTTGGTCATCATTATTATTTACCAAGTGTAACTTCAAACACTATCGAGCATTCAAACATCGATGTTATGTATTTGCATAAAACATTACTATTATTATAAAACGATGTATGAAATAGTATGTCTTCTCATACAGAGAAGCCAAAATAAGACGAAAATCAAGAATATCAATTTGTTGATGGAGGCTTCGTTAAGAAATTATTAACGTTTAAAGTTCCGCCCTTACTGAATTTTTTTCTCGAAAATGCGCAGCATTTCCCATGTACGTCTGTTCACCAAAAATTATTGTAATTGACCCCCGCAACCGAAAATAATTTTTCCAAAACGATTTGAAATTTTTCTTTTTCGCCAAAAAATTTGTCCTCATTCCTGAATTTTTTTCTCGAAAATGCGTAGGATTTCAGGGGTATCTGTAACCACCAAAAATGATTGTAATCCGCCCTTGCAACCGACAATAATTTTTTTGGAACGATTTGAAAATTTTTTTTTCGCCGAAAAATTTCAGCGCATACCGGAAATTTTTTCTCAAAAATGGGTAGGATTTCGGAGGTATGTATATTCACCAAAAATGATTGTAATTGATCTCCGCAACCGAAAATAATTTTTTCAAAACGATTTGAAATTTTTCTTTTTCGCCAAAAAATTTGTCCTCATTCCTGAATTTTTTTCTCGAAAATGCGTAGGATTTCAGGGGTATCTGTAACCACCAAAAATGATTGTAATCCGCCTTTGCAACCGACAATAATTTTTTTGGAACGATTTGAAAATTTTTTTTTCGCCGAAAAATTTAGACACATACCCGAATTTTTTTCTCAAAAGTGGGTAGGATTTCGAGGGTATGTATATTCACCAAAAATGATTGTAATTGACCCCCGCAACTGAAAATAATTTTTCCAAAACGATTTGAAATTTGTTAATTTAATTTTTTAATAACTTTTTAACGAAGCCTCAGTGAAGAAATTGATATTCTTGATTTTCGTCTTATTTTGCTCTCTAGAATCTCCCATTAAAATTTTTCGGAGTGACCGAACACCCTGTATTTATGTATGCGAAAAATAATATATTTCTATTATTGTGTAAAATAACGGTCGTCCAATTCTGATCAATAATCGAATCACTTACCGTACAAAATGGAAAACCTCTTTTGTAACATTGTTTTCTCTTAATATTTATCTTAATTGCGACGACAGGCAAATTAAATAGCATTCTATATTCGAAAGCACACCGTGCAAAGTAATTATACAACGGAGAAGGAATTACTACGGAACACAGAATTTGTTGCAATTAAAGCAGCGCAAACATTGCCAGGGCAATTTTTCAATCTGAATTACTTCGCGTGGTCGACGACTAGCGGCGTTTCAAAGAAGAAATCACGATAAATCAACGTCAAAGAGGCGATATTAAGAACGAAACAATTATTTTCCGTGCGTCGAGGAGAGTTCGGTCCTGTGCAAATTATGCCTCAGAGAGGTAAAGGGGGGGCGAAACATATACAAACGCGTAACTGTTGAAAGAATTCGTGAGATATCGGGTCGTAGACGATTACCGCTGCCTAATTATTCTCCGCGTTTCTGCCCATAAAAACTATAGGCAACGATACTTGATGAGAGAAAAAAATCAGCAACCTAATTATAGGTTTGGATATGCCATACTAGGATCTAGAGTCTCTCAACCTGTGGGTCACGACTATCGTCATCACCCCTGAATCTTAAAAATTAAAAACAGTTTTTCTGTTATTTTTTTACATATTCAAAATGTAATGAATAACAGAACAAATTTTCAGGAACTTACTGACACAGATATAAAATTTTAAAGAAGATATAATATCAAGTTATTATGATTTAAAATGGTTGAGAAGCATTGCTATATTTCATATCGAATATCTTTTTTGCACACCTACACGATCTCCTCGTTTCTGAAACGATCACCGAAGCGTAGATCACTATTAGTCAATTAAAGAGAAACCACGTTCAGGGTACAAATATTTTTGTTTCGCTCTATTCTCTTACTACCGCGAGGAATATTAACTACTACGTTTTCAAACCGCAAACCACAATGTAGTTAGTTGCGTCTGGATCGTCGAGAGCGGTACGTTCAAGATTACGAAGCAACGACCACGTTTTAATATAGAGAGATGTTACAAAATTATAATTGCAAAAGGGAAACAGGAAATACAATTCTTCGATAATAAAAATGTAACTGTATGACTTTGGTACTGAACATGGGAATTTGGCTGCACCGGTCGAGTGTCTGCCGCGGCACGATAACAGCGGGGAACATGATTCCCAGTGGTGTGTAACATAAATTACTTTCTTCACTGGTATCAAATTCGATCCCCTGCGAGAAACTTTGTGTACCGTTTGAACGCGTACCTTCGCGCCGGTCAGATTAACTCGTCGAACATTTTCTCACGTTCGCCAAAGAGACAATAAGGTCAATGAATTTTATGCCTAACTAATCCAATCTCATTTCTGTACATTAATATTATTAACCATACAAATCAATAGGATCAAGACGACTTCTGCTTTCTCTCAATCTTTGCATCCAATATAAGATATAATAAAATACATTAAAATAGTGATACAAAAGTTCATGCTCTATACAATTTAAAAGATAGAAATTTCTGGTGTCGCTTACCTTAACGAAGGAGTGGAATTTTACTTTACTGGGGGAAACAGGCGGGCTGCTCGGTGGCCGTTGCTTTCTTGGTTCTTGGAGAAGGTTCTGAACTTGCAATAAGTAGCCCTTTCTGGCATATCTACTCTTAGGACTGGACTGGATATCTCCTTCTATCTTTGACTTTTTGATTAGTTTCAAGTTTTCTTTAGCATTCTGTCTGAGTATTACGTGGGTCAGTCTTCTAGTATTGGCCCTGAAGTCGTTCAAGCAGATCCTCCTCCACGTTTTGGACACCATACTGACAGAACACAGATCCTGAGGTCCGAGGTAGGATAGGATTTTGGAAACTATACACCAGTTGTTGCTCTTGTCGCCGAATAGGGCTAACATGTCCACGGTTTCTTTGCCCGTGTAGTCTGGATTAGCTCTGGTACGATGGCACGCTAAAGGAAAGGCATTTTGACTGAAGTCCAGCCTCTTTGGCTTGATCTCTGCAATGGCAGCAAGATCCGTGATAGAGAGCTGGCTTAATTTCCGGTTATCTGCTGAACTGATTGCAGGACTAGCTTTTCTATAGGCTGGTGAAATAACGATACGTGGAGGCGGTTGGAACGGCGGTTTGCGTTTAAGTGAATTGGTTACCTCGGGTGTGCTCTGTGGCACGATGACTAGCTTCATTTCTACATCCTCTTCGATAGGTTCGGAGGCGACAAACGAAGAAGAAGGCACCGCCGGCGATGGTGGTGGCGAAAGAAGTTGCAACTTCGTCGAAGCTGGCGTAATGGGGACCGTCGTCCTCAAACTTCGACGTGTTCTACCCCGATAACCGGCATTACATTCTCGGCATTCCGTGCTCTGATTAATTAATTCGCCGCTCGAATGCTCGAGGGACAGACTCTTATGATTGCCGCCGAAACTCGACTTGTCTTCGAGCAAACTTTCGAGTTCCGAACTCTCCGATACGAAGTAATCGGATTCGGATGCATTTAACATATGATTTAATTTCGATCGATGCCGGTGGGCTCGTTCCGACTGAAGAGGATCCAACCTGACACGGTGATGCCTTTTCGACGATATGCAAGACAGCCTGGACCTGCATCCCGAGATTACCGGCGTGTACGCGCCAGAATGAGGAGTAAGGGCGAAGTAACCACTATCCACACTGTCGTGAGAACTACGATTGCTTGCGTTTATTGTACTGTGAGGCGTTTCGCCAATATTTATGCTCTCCATCTCGTCTATCTCCATGATTCTACCGAAGGATAATCTGTTGACAAATACCAATCGAACTACCTCTTCTTACACTCGATCAAACGCGTCCTGATAAGCAGCATAATTAGTTTCCTCTCTTCCAATTCACCAACGAAAACAAAATCGTAACTGTTCGTGCACGTTTTCCCGCGTTGACGTTTCAACCACTTTCTACGCATCACATCTGTCTTCAGAGTTTAAGTCACGAGTTTCGTCCATGCCTCTCGTATCGCCCCACTCGCCACGCTCACGTGCGTCGCGCGGGAAACTGCCTCGCGGGCAGCATCTGTTCGAGAATCCTCGCCGATCGTGGAAGTCACCCCTCCTCTTCGTAAACAAAAGCCACTGTTCGGCGGAGGGAAGAAAAACAACGCTCGGTATTTTCTCGCCTTTCACTTGTCACTGTTATTAACGCGTGACATTTCGTGTAAAACGTTTAATATTTGTCGACAAACGGAATCGCTTGATCTAAAATTCTTGATATTCGCGATCCAAGGACCCGAAGCGAGGATTCGTAGGAAACGTGCGTACGCGGGCATTAACTCTCTCTCTCTGTGTGTTCTTCCGCTGCGAGCACTTCGAAACTTTGAAATCTGTTTATCCGTTGTCCCACCGTGGCTCCCTTGGCGATTGCCTGACCAATCGACTGGCCCGTTTCATCCCGCCGTTCGTTGCCAAGCGCTGCTATTGGCCGAAAGTTGTTAGCCGCGTTTACGACGTTGGCGCCCCTATCGGTCATCGTTTAACTTATCGAATTCTGTTGCTGGGGAGACTTTCTTGGTTCCTCGTTTCTCTTTCGTAGCGCGCTCACGGGGAAGCGTTGAAATTTGCGAGTGTCACAATAGCCGTTCATTTTCCTCGCGATTTCTTTACAATCAACGTATCTTTTGCAAGAAACTGATTGGAGCCACTTCTTAACATGACTGCCTTTGCGACAACATTTTAAAGTCAATAATATTTCACTTGGAGAGGCGCAGAATAATATATTACATAGTGACATATGTTTTTTCCGGATGCTGTTTGTTGCGTAGAAAATTCCCGACTTGCCGGAACTCCAACGAAAAGATCGTAACGTACTTGAAATTTGAAATAGTCTTTTACATTCTGCATGAAATCTTAGAAAACTTGATACATATGTAAATAGTCAAAAGTTTTTAGAAACTTCGATTTTGAACATGTACTTTCGAAATGTTAATTTATACGTTATTGAAGCCATCACGCTAATGCCGAATGCATTGTCATTCTATTAGTGGTTATGATTATTTCTTTGCATATTTCAACTATTTATTAAATAATTTCAGATTTATTTTCGATAATGCGATATCATATGTATTCTTGCTTTGTAATATTAATGAAATTTCTTTATTAAATGTTGAAATCATATATGCATATACATATATTAATATCTTTATTATTTTGCGATACGAAAAAATATGTCGGAACAAACTTGTTTGGTTTACAGCTAAGAATATTATGATTCATGTTTTTTCTCTCTCAAGGTAATTTTTTTCCGACTTTTTGGTCGCCATTTTGTTGCACAATAACATGTGTGTATTTTTTATAATGCAAAATTATAATGCACATCTAAACCTCGAATAAAACATAGAATGAGTTTATTAGAAGTAATTTATTACAATAAATGCTTGAATTTATTTTTCAAAATATTATTTCAATACAACTCTTTATTACTTTCATGAGGTAACAGTCGAAAAACCATTGATAAATGCAAAAATTAGTTATTTTATGCATTTGTAAGATGCAGAAGAATTTCGAAAATCCATAAAAGAATTTAAGAATATTAAAAATTTATTAGGAGTAATATTAATAAATATTATCGTATTATGGTATAATTAAATTATCTGGAATAATTTGTTGATAAAGTAGTATATAAAACTCGGTCAATAATCAAAAGCTCGAAACGTTCATTTGACTAGTTGTGTCATTTTATATGGACACTAACTTGATCGTCAATACGACATTATCAAGTTTGCAAGCGTTCAGATGATACATAAATAGTTATTTAATGTTCATTTAAAGTATTGTGCGATAAAATACGAGTATTCACTTAAAATGGAATCTAGCAAATCAGACTCGACCCCAAAGCAAGCTATGGTGTATATTTGCGGAGGTATGATTAAAATTACATATAGCCACTTTTAACCTCACTTTTTCCTTCTTTGTATACATAAACATGAAATCTTCCGTCAAAACAAAATTATAAAATGACAGTATCGTTAATGAAAATATGTAGATAGTACATTGTCAAATTTATTATCATTTAATCTGTTATAAATGTTTTTAACATGAAATATGTGTTTTGAGTAACCTTGAATGTTACAATATTCTGCAAGCAATACCAAATTAAATTTACCTTTATTTTTATAAAGATGATTTGGTTTATACAAAAATTTCGAAATAGTGTTGCATGCAAGAAAAGAATTTTTTTTATGAAGACAGTGCATAATACGTTTCTAGTGTTTCTAGTGTGATGCAAAAATATTTTTTTCTGTGTTATATTTTCAGAGATTTGTATGTAATTGTGTTTTTAAAAATGTAAGTATTATCCCAGTTACTTAATGGAACCTACATAACAAAATAGAAAAGCTTAAACAAACACAGAGCCACTAATTAATTGTTTTTTATGTATTCAGTTCTGATATTCCCAGGATTCAACATATCCATAATTAAGAAAGAACTTTATAATAGATCTCTTCTAACAGGTTAATTTTTATTTGTATTTTCAGAAGTATAGTCCAACTATAGCTGGTTTATTTTGAGAAGAATGCATCTCAGTCGCTACTAGGGTCCTTTAATTGTTTCTATGCATGTAGAAAGTTACCAATTCTAGTACCAACTAAGATTCTGTATTTTTTGAGCAGGCATCTTGGTTGGTATAGAAGTTTGTGGCTTGCTATTTGCATAAAAAGAATAAATGGCCCCTGAAGATGCTGGATACATTGTTCTCAGGCACCAAATATATATAGTTGATTTTGAATTGATATTTCTTATCAGTTCTTTTACTCTTAGTAGCTACTCATGATTATTTCTAATCTACGTGTTAATTTAAACCTTTTACAATCAGAATTAGATCATTTTGACCCAGTAATGATATGATAAAATGTAATAATTATATTTACAAACTTTATATATAGTATACATATGGAAATACAAACGTTATGTACGCGTTGTGCCAAATTAGAAAAAGTCGCCGTTTGCGTGGTAATAAAAAAAATAATTTTTATAATAAACAAAAAATTTCTATACTCGTAGAATGTCATCACGACAACGAAATACGTCCCAGGGATCCAATCCGATGTAGGGAGTGTGGATACAGAATTATGTACAAGAAACGTACCAAGAGACGTATCCTTTTATCAACAAAGTTTAGCTAATAAAATACCTAATCGCGTATGCATACTGAATAAGGTCAACGAACTATTTATTTTCCTTAACAATGATTCTTAGTTGTTGTATTCGATGCCCGGTAATATGTAAGCAAATGTTATAAAATTAAGGATATGAATAAAGAAGATGCTGCAACTTTGAAGAATGTTTTAGTATTATGTATATATTAACGTTTAATGTAAAGGTCATATTTTTTAATAAAAAAATACACAATGTTATTGCAAATTAAATATTTATTCCCATCCCACATTATTCATAAAATTGTACTTTTATGCTTGCAATATTACCTTAGAAAATTATAACAATATTAATCCAAATATATTTCATAGCTCTTTATAAACTTTTAAAACGATTATTTTTTTTTTTTTTCTCACATTGTTCACCAAAATTTCGTCGATTATCTATCAATGCAGATCATGTAATATAAAACATTTTAAGCAATATATGTTTTTTATTTACAATAAATAAATTACATTTTCATCAGTAGTTCAACAGAGTCACAGAATCAGGAAGAAAAGTGACAGTGACACTAGCAAAGTGTTGGCATTCTCACACTTCATAAAAGCCAATGTTCTTAACGTTTCTGTGTACATTTTATAAAATCTTACTCCGGTCCCATTGTTTGATATTCACGAGCGGACGCTCGATTGGTTTCTGTTAAAGTACCCTCTTTGTTTCTTTTTTTTTTTTTTTTTTATCTCATCGATTAACTTCTCAAACCCGAAATATTTTAATGATCTAGCAACTGATTACAAAAGCATACGATAGAACGGTACACGAGCACAATTTAGATTACGCGCTCAGAAAATTATTTATACAATTTTTAATGGCCTACATCGTTTATAATATATGTAAAATACCAACCTGCCAACTGTTTGCCTTACCGTCAATATATTTATTATAAAACAGTAAAAAGGTAGGGGCCGTTTCAGAAATTCAACTTAAACGAGATGACAAAAGCTGATAATTTTTGAAGTATTTTCTCGTAAAACAGTTCGATTAAAAATAATTCACGCATCGTGATTCTAATCCTGCTTGTTCTTAAGATTTCTAATACTGTGTTTGGAAGGAGCCAAGCCAACTTCTTACAGAATTTTTCGATACGATAATATGCAAGGCAAAACGATTTATCATCTATAATAACTCGCGTTCGTTTTTCTCTTCGTTCGAAAGAGTATGAAATTTAAAGAGAATGTTACACAGTATCGATTCTCTTTTTTACACATTATTTTAAACTTTAAGATCGTTTGTGCTTTAAAAGAAATGACTATAGTATATAATAAACGATATAAAGTTCTCTGTGTAATACTAGGTACTTTCGTCTAGGAGTGCGATTTCATATTTTAAAACTCCTAATACAAATGTTCTCAATCAGCGAGATCTATATATTTTCATTTCAAAAATCCTGAAAATGTTGGGAGTCTTGAAATTTTCGTGAAAATGGAAGACAATAGAATTTGGCTTCTTCGCGCTTAAAAGGCTGAAGTATCTAAACATTTAAATAACAATGTATAATTAAGTATGTAAAATACTTTTAAAGAAATTTCGGAATTCACTGGTCGATGAAAATCTATGGATACTTAGAATACTAATGGAAGATAATTCTATGGTCGTCTTATACAGAAATTCTTGAAAAAATTGCAGATTGTGTAATGATAGCATATTCGTTATTTATAAGTAGATATCTTTAACACGTTAACTGCCAGTCTAAAATCCTAAAATTGTTCACGAGACCAAAAAACTTTCATTTTATGCAATTGTACACTACACAACTTAAAAAGTTGTAGCAGTTACTTTTGTGACCCCATTAAAATTTATTTTCTTTAACATTTCAACTTGAGAATTCGTTGTTATAGTTCTACTGTTAAAAGTTCTGTCACCCATATATATGGGTGACGTGGCAGTCAAAGTGTTAAAGTAAAAAATCTTTTACGACTTAATAGTTCTCGTAGAATATGAGTTATTTTAGATGATAAATGCTTTGCACGTATCAAGTACTTTAAAATTTGTTTATAGTTTCTTCTCTGTTAATTTTATATCCTATTCGGCTTTAAAATAACGTTTACACGATTTTCTCGATTATCAGTTATCTAATGAACGTATAATATATAAATGAATTTGAATATCATATACTTAATTGTTCGTAAAAATTTTCTACGGGTTTAACCGAACATCTCTGTGTAAGTGATAAAAAAATATTTTCGAATAGAACAACGACGTCTTGGATAAAATCAAGTTGGCTTTCCAATATAATATAAATTTATTTTATATCGAATTGTTTGTTCTCTACTGTAGGATACAAATGATGAAAAGTGATCGTATCCATTGTCCCTTAATCTAAATCAATAGATTTGATATGTAAATGACGGTTTGTTATGTATGCTCATGAAAGTAGTGCGATACTTCTAGAAAAAACAATCGTTTCGAAAATATATCCAGAATCATAATCTGAAAGAACTACCCTTGGTAATCACATACAAGATAGCGAAGAGATAAATATTACACCGTACGAAATTTGGCTTTAGCTACGTTCCAAAATATTCTTCTTCCGTGGAATTCTTTTTTCCTTTTCCCTTCTAGTATACCTTATCAAATATTAATTTCAATGCAAAAGTTACTTTTTTTTCTTTTTGTTTGTTTGCTTGTCTCGTCGTTTCTTCCAAAATACAAACATCGTTGGCTTGGCCATTATGGACATACACACGTGCACGCTTTGGAAATTCATACATGGTTTCTTGTAATCCGAGTCGATAGCATTAGAATGAATATACACCAAATGCTATATTAAATTATACTACATTGATATTGTTTGGCGACAATCACTTCAACTGGACCTCAAATGTATACGATTGTGCGGTCGGTCTATTCGTCTACTACTTCGTCTCAAGCACATCTAGGTACAAATTATGATAATTCAAATCTGATTATGCAGTAGGAAAGACATGTCGTGCTTGAATGAGATGTTAAAAACTGGGTGCTGTATACTATATAGATAATTATAAGATAGAATAGCTGTCTCTCGTGGAAGGTATGTTGCTCCTTAACTGTTTTAAGCAAGATCAGGAAATCGGTTATCCAGCTCGCCGATAACGATCGTCGATCCATCGGTAAAGTTCGCTTAAATTTACTAGAAAGTATTAACGTTTCATACCAATCGTCAACAGAGTCAGGAAATAATCGTATTTAATAGTTAGCAAAATATTACTCGAATAATGATTTTCATTACCGCTACGATTTTATCCGCTATTCGTTTATCTTATCGTCGGAATTTATGAAATTAGCAAAAATATGTATACAACAAACCTCAGTTGTTCGTTAAGTTCTACTTCTATCGCTGAACTTATCCTTTAACTTACAACAATATTGGTACATATAAGCTGACAGAACTTTTTGTTGGCACTGGTACACAAAGTTATAAAATATTTTCGTTTGCATCAGGGCGTTTGTATGTTCGTCCATACATATTGAAGATGGAATTTTGAATTATCGGTATTTGTACATTTCTTTTTTTTCCCCCATCGATACGAAATTATTTCCATCGAATTTGTAACTCTGTTTTTGAAGAATTGTAATACATACGTATCCCGGAAAGACGAGTAGGAGGATTGCAGGGCACAAAGATGATGCATTGAAATTAACAAAATGTACAATAATGACCGAATAACCGATTCTGTTCCCCATTACGGATCACTTAAAATTATAATAAAGACTAACATGGTTTCATTATATTACACATAAATATATACAAACACATCTTCTCTTATGTCAACAATGATTCTCGTAATTGCTCATACTAATATCATACAAGTATATACAGGATGCGTTATCCGATACTAAAATTGCAAATGTACTTGTTGCTTTCGGTGATCCGAGGTTTGAAGAAGAAAATGATCGATTCGAAGCAACAACGCACAGTACGTAAAAAAAAATCATTTTTTTTCAAGGTTTGAATTATCACTCTTTGATAATTCAAGGTGAATTTTTTCGTATCACCGAAACCAACAGGTATGTTTATAATTTTAGTTTCTGCCGACTCACCCCTCTCTCGCTCAATGTTTGTGTGTATGTGTGTACGCGTGCGCGTGTTTCGTGTATACTTCATGTACCAATAATTAAGATATAATATTAATTTTTAATGTTAGAATACTCTTCAATGTTGAACGCAACAGTTGCACTTTAAATACAGAATCACATGCCAGTCCATTGCACCTCATGCTGATACAAGACTATTGTATATAAATATCATATTTTCACTACGTATGAGAACTATGCTCTTATAAGTTACATTCCATCAAATTTCGAAGGGAAGCTCAACAAGTTTTAAATTCGAACTTTCAACACCGGCCTTGAGGTACAACAACAATCGGAAGCGAGAATTCGGTGATATCGGATATACGTTATCATTATGTATTTTTAAACAATACGAACAACAATTAAACATCTATTGCATTGAATGCTATAACAATGTGAAGAACGCGTACGTAGACGGAAATCCCTTTTCTGTGATTCTTTAGTAACGATATTGATTAACAATAAAACAAAAAAAAAGAAAAAGAAAAATGAGATTCAACAAAATTAAAAAAGAAATATTTAATTAAATTTAAATAGAGAAACGCATTGCGTATTCTGGTATATACTAGTTTTAAATATTATCTACTCTATATTTTGTATGCTTTACTGGTATAAATCGATATATACATTTTTATTATTGTTGGATCGCAGTACACATTATGCTGAATTTGAAGATCATACTTTCTTTGTGGTTGGTCTGTTGTGTCTCTTTGCAGGAAGAACAAGAGTGAAACCGCCATTTTGTAGCAATTTACAGAAAACCTTATGTCTATTGGAAAGACTAAATACAAAACACTAAAAACAGAACCAAAAGGAACAGATTTCATATAACAGGGAAGACTGATCTTTGAACTTAACATTATAAATTTTCATGACATTAAAACTAAATCAAAGGGCAACCTTTTTATCAAAACATTACCGAGTGAAATTGAAAAAACAGTTAAACATATTGTTAAAAAAAAAATAGAATTCCGATTCCCTTTCTACAATAAAGTTGTAGCTATTTAAAAAATATGTTTAAGACGTCAAGTGTCGCTGTTTCGATGATTCAATTTTCAAATTTCATACAGGAAGATATAAAGTTCTTTCTTTTTCGATGTGCACGAGATTTACTGGTCAGTAAATGCACAAACTAAAATATTAAATAAATCAGATTTATATGGTAAAAGTAGCAAAACTCTTATTGCTACCAAAATTTGCTGTACATCGTCGTAACGCACAACTTTTGTTTAACGAAGTCTGTTATAATTACCTTTTTAATACTTGGAAGATTATTACAATTCTCGATTGGCAACAACGAGCGTTGGAAAACATCCTCGATTCAGGGCAGCTTTCCTTCGAAACGTGATGGCATATATTTACTACAACTATTTTATCGGCACGGCAACGAATTCGTTCGAACAACTTCACCGCTGGTTTCCTGGTTCACTGTATCATTTTGGCACTATGTGTCTTCAACTTTTTGTCTATTGTGATCTTCCTTTATTACAGACTCGTCCGCAACTTTCTTCTGAGTATTCTCTTTCTCTCTACACTTGTCCACACCCCTATCCCCATGTATATTTGTACTAGACTCCGATTCGATATTATGTTCAACAAAACAATGTACTTGTAACTCGTTCATAGTACGCATAGACACCGTGCAAATTTGGCACTTGTATGATTGCATGCTTTCGTCCGGCCTTACATCGTCCACCGGAAATGTGGGCTGATTCGGCCTCTCTTTGACGCCGTACTCCCGTCCCTGTTGCTTAAATTGTGAATTCCCAATGTGAACATCAGACTTTGGATCTTCGATGATTGGCACATGATATGATCGAGACATATTTGCGTCTGCTGTTACTTTTACAGGGCACGGATGCATCGCATGCTGCGGTATTGGCTCACCCTCGTCCGACGAAGTCTCGCCTCCACTGATTACCTGGCTTGGAATCGCCTCCGAATCCCATTGCCCTATTTTACTAGGATCCTTCTCGCAAAGTCTCTGAGCCAGCATCTGCCGAAAGAAATTCATCCTCTACAATATCGGTATCGTACAAAAACAATTAAAAAATTCTATTTACAAAGCTGGGAAAAATTTTAATGGAAGATTCTAGAGACCAAAATAAGACGAAAATCAAGAATACCAATTTGTTGATCGAGGCTTCGTTAACAAGTTATTAACGTTTGAAGTTCCACCTGTAGTTCTCACGCTGAGTGAGAACCTCTATCGCGCGCACGCAGTTGTGCGCAGGTTGCCTATCTGCAGGCGCAACTTTAAACGTTAATAACTTTTTAACGAAGCCTCGATCAACAAATTGGTATTCTTGATTTTCGTTTCATTTTGGCCTATAGAATCTCCCATTAAAATTTTTCCCAGGCTTGGCTGAATACCCTGTATACAGGGTGTTCGGCTACCTCTAGCAAAAATTTTAATGAGCGATAGTAGAGGCAAAAATAAGACGAAAATCAAGAATACTAATTTGTTGATGGAGGCTTCGTTGCAAAGTTATTAACATTTAAAGTTCCGCCTGTAGAATGACAATCCGGTAAACAGCTCCGTTCGCGCGGACGGTTGCGACAGGCGAGTGCTAGTGGTTCTCACGCAGCATGAAAAATTCTGCTTACCGACATTATCGACAGCCTTAGATTTTTGTCCACTTATGGGAATGCGAACACCTTACGTTGAATAAGATTCAACCTGTCTTATGAAAATCCAGAAGGGCATATCAAAACTCGCCCGACGAGATTTTCACAGAGAAAGGGTGAATGCCAGTTCCAATACACAATGTTGTGAACAAAAATCACCCACATGCGATTATACACGCCCCACGATTGTCCACAGTGTCCACAAGTATCCACAAATAATCCTTTCAGGCACTAACCACTATGCAATTAAATAAACACGTACCGCGATTATGTTATTCGTGAATGTCTACGTGTACGTGTATCACGATTCTTCCGAGTTACTTACGAATAAAACTGTTATTAATTTTTCAAATACACTTCAATTTAAAAATGTAAACAGGAATTTAATAAGTATTCGCTGATTGTTTATATCACTGTATTTCTTACATGCTACTTAATACATAACTGAATCAAATATGTCTAAAATGTGTCGCATGAACTAGCTTGACTGATTCTGTTTTACGACTGACTAGCTGGCCGAACACGTGCCGATGCTGCCCTTTGTCTCCGCTGTGTGTGAGAGAGATAAGCGAGGCGAGTGACGTAGAATCGGGGCCTGTTCGGCATATGTTTCTCTGAACCTCGTCGATCGATGGCACAGTCAGCTGCTAGTATTGTTACATTCTTCGCCGTGAACGTAAATCGATGCGAAAATTTCATTTATCCTGCGATTCCTTTTTACATTTTTAAATTGAAGTGTATTTGAAAAATTAATAACAGTTTTATTCGTAAGTAACTCGGAAGAATCGTGATACACGTACACGTAGACATTCACGAATAACATAATCGCGGTACGTGTTTATTTAATTGCATAGTGGTTAGTGCCTGAAAGGATTATTTGTGGATACTTGTGGACACTGTGGACAATCGTGGGGCGTGTATAATCGCATGTGGGTGATTTTTGTTCACAACATTGTGTATTGGAACTGGCATTCACCCTTTCTCTGTGAAAATCTCGTCGGGCGAGTTTTGATATGCCCTTCTGGATTTTCATAAGACAGGTTGAATCTTATTCAACGTAAGGTGTTCGCATTCCCATAAGTGGACAAAAATCTAAGGCTGTCGATAATGTCGGTAAGCAGAATTTTTCATGCTGCGTGAGAACCACTAGCACTCGCCTGTCGCAACCGTCCGCGCGAACGCAGCTGTTTACCGGATTGTCATTCTACAGGCGGAACTTTAAATGTTAATAACTTTGCAACGAAGCCTCCATCAACAAATTAGTATTCTTGATTTTCGTCTTATTTCTGCCTCTACTATCGCTCATTAAAATTTTTGCTAGAGGTAGCCGAACACCCTGTATATACAAATTTAATAGACAGAATTCTTATTGCATCAGTGCATCATCATGGTATTTTATGTTTGATCAATTTCATCAAGACTGTGTTTTCTCAATTTCAAAATTATAATAACTTCGTTTGTTAATTCGTTTGTTAAGGGGTCATTCTGGTTTATCGGGCCGAAAAGTGAGGTAAATTCTATGAATTTTTTCTGATTTAAATACATTATATATTGAAATAAATACATGTAGTATTTATTGTACTATCTTTTGGCTTTATGAAAAATATTTTGTTATACATAAACAATTATTATTGTTAGTGTTCTATTAGCGTAAATATAACGCTGAAAAAAAAACCTAAAAAAACGCTGTTTTTCTTTTACGTTTCTTTTAACCGCTGCCATTTTGTTATTTTTTAACAGAAATTGTTCGACGAGGTACTGGCGATAGCGACATTCATGCCGATTAAAAATCTTGTTCATTTTCTTCTTTCAGATAACCCTGAAGACTGTAATCACCTACGCCAGCAACTTAGGTTTTTTTTTCAGTGTTATATTTACGCTACTTCACGCGCGTGTATATAACCTAGCAGTTGACATTTAATCTGGAGCGTTAATATTAATTGTTTTTTGCCGAACTAATTGAAATTCATTCAAGAAATATAAGAATTCGCGTGCGGACCGTCGGAGAGTACAGACGTGTATACGTTGCGATCCTTGAGTGTAAATATACATAAGCGAACGGTTAAGATATTGCAAAATGCAGCAAGGAAGTGGAGGGGCATTTCCCTCACCGATATTCACTTGCGCAAGTGATACAGTAACCACAACTTCGTACTCTACATATCCATATTACGGACAATCCATATTTGGAAGAGCACCTATTATGGCTACAGAAATCACAACAAATAAGCAGACCCACACACACACACAGCCAACGCCGGCAACTCGGAACAACACAACGTACAGAAATGGTGAGTAATACACATAGATACGCCACTACAGGAACAGGAGGAATTTAGACAACACTTCGATACGAATATATCAGATCAAGAACTCACGTGGCAACAAGTAAAACCCCGGAGGAATAAAAGAAATGGAGATACAGTTCAATCAGATAACTACACAAGAAAGAAACAAGCCTTGCAGGATATCAGCAAACAAAACTTCAATAGATTTTCAGAGCTGAATAATAATGAACCAATGCAAGAAGATGAAATTACCGAGAATGTCAATGAAAACACTAATAAAATACAAAAACCTCCTCCAATATTTATGAACGATATAGCAAACTTCCCACTAATGTTAGAAAGCTTTAAAACTGTCCTAATAAGTGAAGATTTTTCCTGCAAATCAATGTCTGCGGACTCGGTTAAAGTAAACACCAACACACCAGACGCCTACCGAAAACTAGTCCATTTCCTAAAAAGAAATAACATAGCATTTCACACGTATCAACCGCGTCAGGAAAGATCTTTCAGAGTTGTTATCAAAAATCTACATAGCTCAATTCCAACAACGGATATTAAAGATGAACTAGAAAAAAAAGGTTTTGAAATCAGAAGTGTCACTAATATACGTAGCTGGAAAACGAAAGAATCACTCCCTTTATTCTTTGTAGACCAAGTACCAGGTGAGAAAAATAAAGAAATCTATAAATTAAAACACCTTCTTAACACTATAATAGAAGTCGTACCACCGCGTAAAAAGAACGTGATACCTCAGTGTCATCGCTGTCAAAAATATGGGCATACCAAGGGTTATTGCACCAAGCCATTTAACTGCGTGAAATGTGCTGAAAATCATCCTACAAATACTTGCACCAAGGAGAAAAACACTCCTGCAAAATGTGTATTGCGCGACGGCCCGCATCCTGCAAATTACAAAGGATGCAGTGTATATCGAGAATTACAGGAAATAAGAGGTAAGCCAGATAAAAATACAATTGTAAATAGAAATTATAGTATATGTGAAAACATAAGTTACGCTCAAGCCACAGAAGGTAATACTATCCAACATGACCATAATGATGCTACTAACACAATGTCAAATCAACTCCTTCAGAAATTCGAGTCTCTTTTCAAACAATTAATGGACCAAAACAGCATGATTATAAATCTGCTTACCGCCTTCATCAACAGAAAATAACAATGCCTGATAATATAAGAATAGCCTTATGGAATGCAAACGGTTTGCAGCAACGCAAACAGGAAATAGAATTATTTCTAAATCAAAATAAAATAGATATTCTCCTAATTTCTGAAACTCATTTTACTGACAGAAGCTATTTCAATATTTACAAGTACAAAACATATAGCACCAATCATCCAGACGGAACAGCTCACGGAGGAACTGCTATTATTATAAACGAAAAGATATCGCACTCTGAATCATCAAAATTCGAAGAAGCTTGTCTACAGTCAACTAGTGTCGAAATCAAAGATGCATACAGTACAATCGTCATTGCTGCAGTCTACTGTCCACCCAGACATGCAATAAGCAAAGAAAAATTTGATCAATTCTTTAACACGCTAGGTGTGAGATTTATCTCAGGTGGAGACTACAATGCAAAACACCCCCAATGGGGTTCAAGACTCAGCAACCCAAAAGGTAAAGAACTCCAGAAAACAATGACATCAAAAGGGTATAATCACATCAGCACCGGTGAACCGACTTACTGGCCAACCGACCCCAGGAAAACACCAGACTTACTTGACTTTTTTATAGCCAAAGGTATCTCGCTAAGCCAGGTTGAGGTAAATACAAGCTTGGACTTGTCATCTGATCATTCGCCAATTATACTCACATTGAGCTCTACACTGGTAGACAACGAAAAACGGCCGTATTGGACAAACTCGAAAACAGACTGGTCTCTTTACAGAACACTTATAAATAATAATATAGATCTAAATATCCCATTAAAAACTGCAAACAACTTAGATCAGGCGGTAGAACTCCTAACTAAGACGCTGCAAGATGCAGCATATAAATCGACGCCTGAAACCAAAGCTGAAAATAAACACGCAATGAACCATCCGTTATCCGTGAGAATTAAAATTGCAGAAAAGAGGAAAGCTAGGAAAAAATGGCAGTTATCTAGACACCCTGATGATAAGAGAACGCTAAATAAGTTAACCAGGGAACTCACAAAGCTGCTGCACCAAATTACAAATGAGCGCATCCAAGATTACCTTCAAAGCTTGTCTCCACGTCAGGAAGATAATTACTCCTTGTGGAAAATCACAAAAAAATTGAAAAGGCCAACTGAACACATCTCTCCTATAAAAATGGGAAACAACCGATGGGCCAGGAACGATCAAGAAAAAGCCGATACTTTTGCAAATCATTTATCTACAATCTTCACACCGAATGACATACCAACGCTCGACAGCGACTACAGAGACATCACGAACTTCCTTAATGCTCCCTCGCAACCTTGCGAACCCATCATACATTTCTCTCCCGGAGAAATAGCACAAGAAATAAAGAAACTTAATGACCGAAAAGCACCTGGATATGATCTCATTACCGCTAAAATGTTAAAAGAATTACCAAAAAAGAAAGGTGTAGTAGCTATCACGCAAATATATAATGCGATACTGAGAGTTCAGTATTTTCCCATCCAATGGAAATTTGCGACAATCATTCTGATTCAAAAGCCTGGCAAACCACCCACAGAAGTGACCTCTTACAGGCCTATCTCACTGTTACCAATCTTGTCAAAATGATTTGAAAGATTACTGCTAAACAGGCTAACACCAATATTAACGGAGAAATGCATAATCCCACAACATCAATTCGGTTTTCGGAAGCAACACTCTACTATCGAACAAGTACATCGTATAGTCAATGTGATAGAAGAATGTTTCGAGAAACGCATGGTATGCTCCGCTGCGTTTATTGACATTAACCAAGCTTTTGATAGTGTGGCACATGGGCTTGTTATATAAAATTAGGCAAAACCTTCCATATAACTACTATGTTCTGCTAAAATCATACTTAAATGACAGGTTCTTCCAGGTCAATCAAAACGACAAATACTCGAAAATCTACCCTATACTCGCGGGTGTTCCTCAAGGTAGCGTCCTAGGTCCCACATTATATCAAATCTATACAGCAGATCTTCCTGCAGATGAAAACGTACTCGTGGCCACATTCGCGGACGACACTGCGTTCTTATCTTCCCATGAAAACCCTGCGGAGGCGTCACGATTCTTGCAGGGAGTTCTTGATAAGACTACAGAATGGACCAAAAAATGGAAAATTAAGATCAACGTAAACAAATCAGCACATATTACATTTACTACCAGACATATTACGTCCCCTGCAGTCAAACTGAACAGCGAATACCTCGAGATCAAGGACTGTGTCAGATATCTTGGTCTGCACATGGATAAAAGACTCACATGGAAAGACCACATAAAAAAGAAAAAAATGCAACTAAATCACAAAATGAGAACCATGTATTGGGTGCTTGGTTGAAAATCGAAACTTACACTACACAATAAACTACTCCTGTATAAGGTCGCTATCATTCTTATTTGGACATATGGAATACAACTCTGGGGATGTGCCAAGAGAAGTAACATAGACATCATCCAAAGGTTTCAGAACAAAACACTGAGAACTATTGCTGCCGCCCCTTGGTACATTACCTCAGACTCTCTTCATAATGATTTGAACATACATAATATCAAACAACACATAGACAAATTTGCGACAGCACACAAGAAACGAATATTAAATCACCCCAACGACAATGTCAAGGATCTAAATCAGGCACCACAACACAGAAGACTAAAAAGGAACAAACCGACCGATTTGCAGAGTTAAGTAAAGAAGGAACATCACATGTAATGGAAGCGGCAACGCTACGGAGCGTTTACTGCGCGCATGCCACGTCTCTAGTTCATCAAATTTGCTGGTTAGCTCAATGAAGCTAGTTGTAAATGTAATTTAATATCAATAAAATATTTACGCTAATAGAACACTAACAATAATAATTGTTTATGTATAACAAAATATTTTTCATAAAGCCAAAAGATAGTACAATAAATACTACATGTATTTATTTCAATATATAATGTATTTAAATCAGAAAAAATTCATAGAATTTACCTCACTTTTCGGCCCGATAAACCAGAATGACCCCTTAAGCTTAGTCACAAAGAATTTATTTTTTGGCACGAAGCCGAATTTTATTATTTCGGGTACAAGGATTCTGATCGAATCTGTTATAATAAATAGAATCTAAGAGATTATTCAAAGAAACAACGTTTTGAGCTTGGATGCAGATTAAAATCTATTTTAATTGTGTTAAAAAATAATTAAACGACCGGGTTACGTACCTGAAGACTAGTAAGACTATTATCACAGTCGGTAGTATCAATGTCGTTCAAATTGACGCCGGACCTCTCCATTTCAGCATACGTCCCGAACGGTAATTTACCTAAACATTCTAATTTCATAATGTGCATCTTGCTACGAAGATGTTTCGCCAAGTGACCGTGTATTCTGAACGCTATTTTACAGTCGGTGCACTTGAATGGTCTAGGATTGCTGGTAGTTGCTGCTCCGAACGTAGAAGTCATACTGACCTGTAATATAAACGTTCGATTAACATTTATTTGAACGATTACTCGGTAAACATTTTATTGAATGAAAAAATTAAATTACCTTATTGTGATGAGAAACAGATCTTTCGTGTTTTGTCAGATGACCCTTGGTTCGGAACGAAACTGCGCAACTTTCGCATCTAAATGGTCTCTCGAAGTAATGAATGTTGATATGCAACCGTAACTGACTAGGTTTGTTGAACACCTTGTTACAAATCCCACAGACGCTTCTCCCATCTTCGGTCACACTGTAACTATATTCGGTAGATTCAGTTCTTTCGACCAACACTATGTCGACGTTCGAACGAAACAACAGAGATCCTTATTTTAAAAAATAGTTCGAGAAAGGTTCGTTACTAGACTTTTCGCAGCAATATTTCGTTTTTCATTGGTCGATGAACTGAAATGTTATAATATTCGACGTTTCGTTTCGTAACTTTTCAAGCAGCCCTTCAAGAGTTAGGGATTTATAATCTATAGAGCCATCGTGAAGTCACGAGAAGTTACAAGACGAAACTTTCGAATTACAATGTTTCAAACTATTGACAATCGAAAATTGCATTGCCCTGGAAAATTCGATAGCTCACCCTTCGTCGAACACCGAAGAAATCGATTTTAAAAGAAAAAGTATCGACTAGCGCTGTAATTAACGAATAATCGTGGAATTAGTAGCGAGCTTTGTATTAAGAAAATATATCCATTTGTCTGCGTTTCCATTTACTTTGATTCGAAACTATATTTTTATTATTGAAACTATAATTCACTCAGTGTACAATCTGGACTTCGTTCTGTTTGATTATTACCTTTTCCGAATAATTGCGTATTTTTCGAGTGGGAGATGGTTCAAGAATTATGATGACGACATCAAACGCGAATATGCATAGTTTTTTGTATTCAGAGAAGCAGCACGGCGTTGCAAAGGAACGCAAGTTTTTCAGAACGATGGCAGATCATAGATCATGCTTGAAACGTCCTTTTATCATAGCTATCATTTAATATTTAACGAGCAAAATGAAAGTCAAATAGCTAGAAGATATAAAATCGTATAAGAAAACCGACAAAAAACGCGTTTCAAAATTTCAACTCAAAATTATTTTCCTCCAGGTAAAATCATATTAAAAATAACTTGCGATAATAATTAGTTCCATCCTCTTAGGTACGCATAAAATCACGGTAGAAAAGAAATAATTTAACTGTTATCATCTAGCGATCATAGTAGTATAAAACAATCTACAAAAGCTTGTTCGTGCGTAGCTCACCTAACATAGTTGGGCGCAGGTCCGCTGGAGGGCTGCAAGAACTCTGCTTGCGGTTTGAGATTCCCTGCTGTAGGCGAGGGTGATCTAAAACCTGGTCCTCCGACGACCATTTTCCGCGCCACCGTGTGCTTGATGCTCTCGGCCAAACTCTGTTTCGTCATCTCCGGATGTTTCATTTCGACGCGATCCACGTTTCTCATGTCCACGATCTGCGGCCTCGAGACATCTTGCATCTTGGCGGCCTCGTGCATGGCCAACGGCATCATCTCGAAGTTCACCCTCGATTCCTGAGGCTGCGCGTGCCTGTACTCCGACAACAGGATCATGTCCCTGCTGGGCGGACGGTTGTCCACGTTGCTCTGTCTGATCTCCATGCTGTTCATGGCCACCATCTCTTGGCCAGAGCGTATATCGTGGACCAGCGGCTTGAACTCCCGACTGGGGGGCCTCAATTCTTGCCGGCAGAGTTTGTAGTCCTGGCCGGGCGGCCGCAATTCCTGCATCTGGCTTCTGTAGTCCTGGCTCGGTGTACGCATCTCTCTGCTGGGCGGCCTCATGTCCAAGTTACGCGGACTCTGGCTCTGCATTCGGTGATCCGTCGTCGCGACCCTGATCTCGTGACCCGTTTGCCTGATTTCCTGACCCGTCGCGTGACATTCCCGCGCCCTTTCCAACTCGTTCATCGCCTTCATCGAACCGAACACCGAGTTTCGCTCGATGTCGTTGTTCAGTTGCGGTATCGACAACAGCCGATTATTGACGTCGGCGTTGAACGACTTGGGCGAGTGGCAGTCCACGCTCTGCGGCGTGCTCCTGTTAGGCGACTCCACGGAATAGCTGGACCTCTCCGCGCAATTGTTACTCTTAGGCATACCGTACTCCACGCTGGTCTTCGAACCGACGGGATTGATCAACCCGTGCTCGTAATTCTCTCTCTCGACGATCGTCCGGCCTTGTTCCTTCTCCCTGTGGATCGACTCGATGTCGAAGGACCGTCGATCAACCGCGACGTTGTTCTGATAAATCTTCTCCCTGATCTCCATCTTGATCTCGTCCGTGGTGTGCTTCGACACGTGTTTGATCCTCGAGTCCATCACGGTCTGTTGCATCTTGCTAGGGTCGGTGTACGTCACCGTGGACACGTTGTTCGGCTCCATGTTCCTCGAGTTGGGTGACAACTGCCTCAAGTAGAAGTCCCTGTCCTTCGGAAGCTTGTCCATCTTCGTGTTCCCCACCCGGTACTGTTGCTTGATCTTGCTGTCCATCACGTGCCTCTCGGTCAGATACGCCTGCAACATATGGCCCTCTGCATCCGGTTTCCATTCCCTTCCCTGTATCGGTAGTCTTTCCATCGTTTGGACGATCGTTTGGAGCAGCACCGGTTCGGAAACGGGGGTCAAAATGTCGGCTGGTTTGGCCCTTTGCAAGATTGGCGACGGCAAGGGTTGCACAGCCGGCTTCGTTGTGAGATCCATGGGTTGAGGCAAACTGCTATGCGAATCCCCGTCTACCTCGTCCACTTCCACGTCGGCGGTTTCCTTCTTGGACGATTGAATCACGGTCGTCCTCGATTCCTCCGGAGCGCTGCGGCTCGAGGGGAAATAATACCGATAGGGCAACTCGTTTCGAACGAGGGTGGTTGCCTGCGTGCTGACGCAGCCTTGGCTGCTCAGAGGCGAGTTGCTTACGGCCACCGACACGGTCGACGACGTAGAGGTCGTTGGAAACGTCAGGGTGTAAGGATAGGTCGTGGGTCTTCCGGACGGAAGCAGCCCTGGGAATCGGTTCGTGTTCCGTTGAGAGAGGCTCAGCAGACTCTGCGCAGCTTCCTGTTCCTCGCTTCCTGACTCCTCGCTCTCGTCCCCGTCGCTCTCGTCCTCCTCCTCCGAGGATTCCTCGGTGTTTCCACCCGCGGCCAGTCGGGCGATGGCGTCCTTGTCGATGTTCTCGTCGCAGACCGACGTCGGGACGGGGACGACGCCCAGCTCGACGCACTTCTTGTAATGAGCCTTCGATTTCATGTGCTTCGTCAGGTTGCCTTTGGTTTTGAAACTGTACGGATATAATTTGATTAGAATGATCGAATAGCGAATACATTAGTTAGAAATGCGGGACGCGATGAATGGAAACAGATAATAGAATATCAGCCGTTTCTGATCAATCATTTTGATGGACAATATTAATTCGATACAATGAGGGTTTTCAAGTTTGGATTCGCGCACATTTTGCACGCACAACAAATTCTGTAAAAACATATTGAAACATTTTCTGTCTCACTTCGTCTTGTGTTCTTTTCTCTGGAGTCCCAGAAAATTGGGCCGAAAAATACATTGGATTTAAGATCTACTCGTATACCTCGTTTGCGATTATATTCCTCGTTTATCATTTCGTATGTAGGTATAGTTCAATTATCCAGGGTATTTATGTAGTGTAAGTGTACTAAATTCGAATGTTAAAAATCTTACCTAAAAGCACAGTGCTTGCACGTGTACGGTCTCACGTCTGTGTGCGTTCTGATATGTTTCTTTAACATAGATGGCTTTTTACAGCGAATGCCGCATTCCTCGCAAACGTATCGACCCCGACCTGACATAACAAAGAAATTTACATCTTTAATTATGCAAAACGAAGGCGTGGTTAAAAGAAAACTATTTATAAAATACAGCAGTGGTTCTTCACTCTCGAATCTATAAAAACCTTCAAGAGTTCTAATCTCCGTAGCCCTAAAAACTTGAAACCATTTCAAAGCTGGTACCCCTAGCACTCGGTGAAGTCCTTTGTAATAAACACCGAACGTCGAGTCAGTTTAAAACATGGAATTCATAGAAGGAGATATAGTTTCCTCACCTCTGCCCCTAACGTAGGTGTAGTCCTCGTTGCTCTCGAACCCGCCATCGAATATCTTGACCCTCTTCGCTTTCTCCTGCATGTCGCCGTCCGATCCATTGTCGGTATTCGTCGGCGTGGTGGGCCTCTGCGAGGAATGCGTCAAAACGTCCTCCTGTTTCTTGGAGGCGGTGGTGTAATTTAGAGGCCTGTGCCTCGAATCGTAATGCGCCATGTCGACGTCGGGCGGCGCTTCCTTGCATATCTTCCAGTTCGAGTACATGGACAAACCGTGCTGCTGGGTGACGTACATCGGCTGGGGTCGGTTCAGGGTGCAGTAAAACACTCTGGTGGAGCACTTGAGGCCTAGATATGTGTAGGCGTGTCCGTTCAGGTAAAGCTGCCCGTAGGATTTCTTTGGTCGCGGAGTCTCCGGGCTGATCAGCGGCAGCGTGTTCGCCGTGGGCGTGATGCCGTGATGCTTCTTCGGCGTGAAGGTGCCAGGTTTCAGCGGCAACGACGTGGGCCTTAGAAATTTGCTCGAGTTCATCTCCTCTTTGGTGGCGTCGCCGTTCTTCGGGGATCTCGCCTCGGGCTTGTCTACTTTAACGATTAAATCTACGGAAGCTTTGCTCGGCGCGTCCGTCTTCGAGCCGTCCAAGTTGCCGAGCACCATCGGCGCCACGGTATCGGGCTTCATTTTCGCGCCGTTCACCGCGCCGTAGCTCTCGATCGACTTGTCCCTGCTGTCGACGAAACTCGTCTTCACGCGACCGTTCTCCACGGGCGGCGGCGAATCGTATTTACCCGCGTTGTACCCCAACGGGTCAACAACGGGCGTCTTGCCGGACTCCAGCTCGCTGACGTTCCACGTCGACAGCCTCTTCCTGCTTTCGGACGACGACTCCTTCGGCGAGTATCTCAGCTTGCTGTAGGAGTTGCCCGGATCGACGCCGTTCGCGTACCCGAACGACTTCTCCGCTTTGGGGCTCCTGTCGTACGTGAACTCCCGCCTCTCCCGCGGACTCTCCATAGCCTTGTACTTCATGGTCACGCTATTCTTGATATGACGGTCAAGCTCCACTTTGGCGATCTCCCCCGCGAGCGGCACCCTGCGGTACTTGTCCGTGGAAGTCTCAATCTTAACGCTAGGAACTTTCGGACTGGTGAACCCGGGCTTCGAGGCGTCGCTGTTGGGCGTCTTGAAGCCGAGCTTCGAGTCCTTGGCCGGGCTGGCGAGGTCCAGTGGCTGGCCCATCATTGTGGCGTGTCCACTGGACATCGGTCCCGGAATACCAGGTACGCTTGGTGTTTGTATCTTCACCGGACTGGCGAGGTCCAGGGGCTGGGGGATCATGTGGAGGCCGGGCAAGCCTGGTATCACTTTGTAACCGGCGTTGCTCGTCGCTATGCTCGAAGATATGTCTATGGCTGGCGCGAGGGTGTGGGGCCCGGGCATGCCGGGCACGTACGGTATTACTTTGCCGCCGTGCAGGATATTCGTGATGCCCGGCTGGGGCAACGTCAACGGATTGTAGGCAGTGATGCTGGTCAGGGGGTTCAGGTGGGTTTCCAGGTAATTGTAGCACGACATGCTGGGGGCTATGTTCGGAGTTGATATGTTCGGCATGATCGGCGCCAACATCTGCGGCGTGTTGGGCAAAGATATGGAGGAACTGGGTGTGCTAGCTGGCGTGCCCGGTGGCTTGTGCACCATCGTACCCCCCGAATGGAGACCCGATCTAACCACGATCGACGCGGTCTCCGAGGTGACGCACTTGCTGCTCACGATGTGCTGCTCGCTGGTGGGCGAGTTCGTCTGTCGCGGCTCGATCCTCATCGTCTTCGTCTCGCCGGTGTTGTCCAGGATCCTCACCTCACCGCCGAACATCTGTAGCGAATTCGGTCGCGGGTATTTGCTCAACTCCTCGAGCGATCGCAGCGTCGTGGGCACGGACTCCGAGCGTTGCTTCTTCGCGGGCGGCGCGTACGCGTCCACGAGCCTCGTGTTACCCAACAGCGGCCCCGGGGAGGGCAAGGGTTGCAGCGTATTGTAATAATCGGAAGACTTCGATTCGAAATCGGACTCTCTCCTCTCCATGTCCAGTTGGCACTCTCTATGGGGACTCGCGGTGCCCTTGCAAGAGTATCTTCGGTGAGCCTCGAGGTCCTCGATGCTCAAATAGTGCATGCCGCAAGACGAACACCGGTAATTCTCGTTCTCCCCCTCTTGGCACGTGTTCGGATTGTTCAGTAGGAGATCCTTGATCAACGAACCGTCCGAGCTGTTCGGGCAGTCCTTGCTCTCGCGGACGAAGCTCTCGCTGTAGCATCGTTTCCGCGAGGCGGACTCCTCGAAGGAAGAGAGATTCAACGGTTGATCGCACTGTTTCGTCTCGACGAGACTCTGTTGCCTTTGCATCAGCTTGTGCAGACGCGGGTCCACCGCATCGACGATCGCCTGGTTATCGGTGATGATCTTGTCGATGTGCTCTTGTACTTGCTCTGGATTGGGCTTGGAACCGGCGGCTGCGGTCGAGGAAGAACTGTTATTGGAAGAAACGGATGAAAGGGAAGACGTTTCGGTGTCGTTGTTGACGCACTGGAGCGCCGTGTGGAATTTTGGCTTGTAGATTTTCCCGGTCCTGATCGTTTTTATGCTGGACATGGTCGACGTCGGCGTCGATGATGGCGGGGGCGGCGGCGTCCCGGTTCCGTTGCTCGCGCTGTCGGATAGGCTTATGTCCGAGTCCTCCGATACCTGCGAACATTCGCCCAATCGAGTCTTATCGGAGGTACAAACCCGTCTTTTTTAATATCAAGAAAATTGATTGCGTTTGACAATCCGTCTTGGACCAAACTAACGTTCTAAAATACATAAAATTATAGCTTCGACTATAGTTATTCGATCTACAAGGGACGATGAAGACTAATTTTAAAGGACTTTTCAAACAGAATGCAAACCAAAAGTAAACTACGTCGTGTTTCTAACCCTTTATTACTGTAATGGGGATGTCGAAATCTATCACTGTTTAGAGTATCAGTTTGGTGATCTCTCCTTGCGAGGAGATTCTCGTTTCGATTTTAAAAAATTCAGCGAATATGTACCTTGCTGGCATCGCCACCCTCCATCTTCAGGGCGTGAGCACGGGACCTGCAGTGTTTGTAGAGATTCGACTTCGTCTTGAACGCGAAACCGCAAGGCACGCAGGGATACGGTCTTTCGTTCGTGTGGGCTCGTATGTGTTTCTGCAGGACGCTCGGCTTGGCGCACGATAGCCTGCAATAAGGACACACGTAGCCGCTTTTCCTGGACTCCGTCGGCTCTCCATCCCCCGGTTCCGGAGAGGCCTCGACCTTGATCGGATCTTTGAGCGACTCTCTGGAGTCTTTGGCCGAATCCTTCTTCTTGGGTGCCTCTGGAGAACCGTTGTTGGCCGCGGTGTCCTTCTTTGGCTCCAGCTTTGGCGCAACCTCCGTCGTCGCCATCTTCTTGAACTTTTTGTGCAGGTACTTTGGCTCGCCATCGTTGTTGTTGTTGTTGTTATTATTGTTATTGTTCGACAACTGTGGGTCTGTCATCGCCACAGTATGAGTCTCTGCAAACAAAACATACACACGTTTTATCGATCGCTGTTCGTGACGCCATAGCGGAGGGAAAATTTTATTCGGATAACGGATAGAAATCGGGAATAACAGTTCATTTGTCTAGACGAATAAATTTTTATGTGTATAAGGATTTATCTTAACAAGAAATTGTTGGAACAAAAGGTTACTCGCGCGAGAATTCATTCAAATGACTCGCGTTATAGGAAGATTACCGTACCCGTAAAAAGTTTACTGTCGAAAAGATTCCAAGTGAACGTATCGTCTTGTTTCGTGCGTAATGTCTCATCGAGTGAAGCAATCGTTTTATCTTCGTGCTTTTTTCACGCGACGCGCAATGGAGCGCTTTTTACAATCGGGATTTAACAGTTTCTTACTCGACGTCGAAGATATAAAATCTTCCATGTGAAAATAAGCAAGCGTTTTAACAGGATATGTTACGTAACGAAATAATTAAATATATGATGTTAATAATAGGCAAAACATACCTACATAAACTATAGTTTTAAAAAAGTACGCGCAAGAAACGAGTACAATTCGCGATTTCTTCATAACGATCTCATTAAAATATGTCGCAGATATAACGATCGAGTAAACAAGTACCTACATAATGTTATAAGCAAGCTCGAGCTACGATAAGAATATTCATTCGATTATTTAACTGCACCCGTTGCGTGTGGGAAATATCCAAGCGCCTTTTGTTTGATCTTAAACCGACAAATTTGTTTCGTCGATTCAGAAATTCGAGTTGGATGAGAATTGCTTTCGTAAAAGCGGTGGAAAAGTTGGCTGAAAAATTTTTTGGTTCTAAGGAACTATTAGCTTAAGCAATTATTACTATAAATATAAATGGTAACCTTGTCTTGCTTTAACATACCATTGATATTAAAAGGACATATTTTTAAAAGAAAGATAAAAGTGTTTTGTACGTTTTATGGAAAATCAAAGAAAAATAAATTATATACGTTGTTACACGGCTGTTTGTTAGTGTTTATGTTTGTAGAATTCATTTGTAGATGTATGAAACTTGTTTTCGATGAGGATACGTTCCTGTATGCAATTTTGCACGACCACATCCATTCTAATTACATTTAATAAACAAAATAAATATATCTGCTCTTTCATTACTCGTATATGGTACAGAGTTATCAACAAGGAAATTGATTAATCTTAAATTGATTGATATTAGACGTAGACTCTTGTTTACAAATATTCTAATGTGTAACAGTATGTTCAAAAATGAACAGTGGTACATTGAAATAATTCAGTAAACTTTAATGTGTTATGACTCTTGAACGATTAGGTTGAGCAGTGCAATCCAAATTATAGAATTCCATCTATGCATGAAAGTTAATATAATTATGACCATTTAATTTTGCTCAATGGCACTTTTTTGTAGCTTTTACTGTTTTAGAAGTACGTATAGCTTTTTTAAGCTGACATTTTTTTGTTTTGATGAAACGGAAATGTTATAATTACATGACAAATGTCATCAGTCAGCATCAGTCAGTAATTCGTCCCTATTATTTGCAATCTTACAAATTAAATAATATTAGCAGTGTAGTAAGTAGAAACAGTGGGTAGTGGGCAGACATGACCAGACTCTTATTCAAATTCAATTGTGTATCTCGAAAACGAAGCTTCGAACGAACAAATTTTATACTTTGTTCTCGATTTGTTTTTTCATGTAGAATCATCCCCTATTTTAGATTTAACCATCGACACTAGGATACCCTGTATATAAGTGTAAATAATGTTCCTCTTTTAGTAATGTACGAAGAAACTATTATACAGGGTGTTCGGCCAACCCTGGAAAAAATTTTAATGGGGAATTCTAGAGGCCAAAATAAGACGAAAATCAAGAATACCAATTTGTTGATGGAGGCTGCGATAAAAAGATATTAACCATTAAACTCAAAAATTTCAAATCGTTCTGGAAAAATTATTTTCGGTTTCTGGGGTCAATTACAATCATTTTTGGTGAATAGACATACCCCCGAAATCTTGCGCATTTTCGAGAAAAAAATTCGAGAAGGTGTGACATTTTTTGACGGGAAAAAAAAATTTCAAATCGTTTTGGAAAAATTATTTTCGGTTGCGGGGGTCAATTACAATCATTTTTGGTGAATAGACATACCCCCGAAATCTTGCGCATTTTCGAGAAAAAAATTTAGTATGGTCGGAACTTTAAACGTTGATAACTTTTTAACGAAGCCTCCATCAACAAATTGGTATTCTTGATTTTCGTCTTATTTTGGCCTCTAGAATTTCCCAAAAATTTTTCCCAGGGGTGGAACACCCTGTACACGCAGCTTTTCAGTAATTATTTCTACTTATACGAAAAACAGATTCGATAAAATGAAAGGATAACAGTAACATAGGAGCTTCGAAGTACCTTTCGAATTACGTTCTATTAACGATTAATAACTCTTTTTCGGCTCATTTCGAAGTTTACCTGTTAAATTGACGCGTGGACAAAGCCTTTTTACGTATTCTGTTCGTTTTGTTCGAGTTTAGAGCCGCACCGATATCGAGGTTATTAACGACTTATCACAGTCAAGGGTATCTTTCTACGTAGTTTGGTGAAACAGGAAAATTTCGTCGTCCTATTATTTTGTCGCGTAGCGTAGAGGAAACTATAAAACGCGACGCTCGCGCTGAAACAACTATCAGTTCCGATTAGTCGGATCGAACGACAGCCTAGACGTGCACGTTTAATGCGCATTTATCAGATCGCTTAATATTCAAGGCCTGGAAGGTCATTCTTACGGTTTTATGCGAGAATTACATTACGAAAGCGGAAGGAGGCAAGTTCAACAGTTCAGATCACTCGGTCGTCGGTTTGCGCGCGAACAGAACTTTCCTTCTTTCGGATTTCCATTCGTAAGCGATCAAGGCTCGTAGCCAAACGCGAGAAAAAAAACCTTCGTTATCGAGAAAATTCTCAGACATAATCAACGCTCAGTCTGTCGACTAAAATTAATTTCTCCAACGTCCATTCATTTCTATTGCCGTTACGCGTCTTTTAATAAGCCAACCTCGAAATCATCGTTCTTCAAAAAGTTGAAAATCGACATTTGAGTCATGTCAAATTCAACCTTGGAAATCATATTTTTAAACATTCTGCTTTTCACGAATTATGAGAAATCCTATTCATAGAATAATTATGGTTCAGTCTTCTTGGAATTGTTTACTAACATCGAGGAAACTCGAATGTAGAATTGTCATTGAACGGGGAATGGAAAAAGGTACACACGTGTTGTTTATGCATGAATTTTACACGAAAAATTATTTACTCGACACCACCCAGCACATTTTTTTTACGACGTTCCTTTGAATTTACGCGTCATTGCGTAGCAGACGCGGTGTGTGTGTCGTTTCTTAGAATTATAGTTGTTTGCTTTCAATAATAATCAATGATCAATTCTGCAATATGCGAAAACGTTGCTTCATAATGTAATTTTAACGCGTTCGTTTCTCATGTTGATAAGATGACGTCTGATACCGGAAAATGACGTATCGTTACATTACACGGTGATCATTGTCGACGTTGAAACATTTATTCTTAGAAATGCTCCTGTTCGCTGTCGTTAATATTTTGCGACACGTATTACTGTCGACGTTATGTTAATTTCAAAATCTATATAACGAACGCGGAAAGCGTTCTGACGCTAAGCGAGTCTGTTATACTTATTGCCACGAAGAATATTGTAATTAAAAAATGGTTCGTCAATGAAGTACTTTTCTTCAAATCTGCGATTTCCATCAATTTTTATACTTTTAATATTATAATTTATTATTAGGGCAGTGATAGTTGAAACTTTGAATAAGTGCTATAATATAATAGCAATTTTATAACGTTGATGTGTTAAATCACTGAAAAATTTCATTCCAAGTATTCAAAATTTTACCAATATTAAAAGTAATTTTATTAAAAAAATTCTAAAGAAAATTCTTTGTGTACTTCAGTCGATGCAGTTTCTTATTTTATTAAAGGAGTTTAATAAAAAAATGTTATCTTTTTCTTCCAAGTAGAACAAAAATTTGTAAATAGAAACACACATTGTTATTTAAAAAAAAAAACAACAAAGGTCTGTGGTATTTCACCCCTGGGGAGAGTTTTGTTTTCTCTGAAAATTGCATTTCAAGACATTTGAATGAAAAGTTTTCAAAGGAGTATTCTTTATAGGAGAAACTAAAATCTTCTAACAAAGATTAGACTGATTTCGAAGTCTAATAGACAAACCTAACCCAGCACAACAAAAATTTGTAAATAGGAACACACATTGTTATTTAAAAAAAAAACAACAAAGGTCTGTGATATTTCACCCCTGAGGAGAGTTTTGTTTTCTCTGTAAATTGCATTTCAAGATACTTGGATGAAAAGTTTTCAAAGAAGAAACCTGTATAGGAGAAATTGAAATCTCTTAGCAAAGATTAGATAGATTTAGAAGTCTAATAAACAAACCTAACCCAGTACAACAAAAATTTGTAAATCGAGACACAAATTTTTATTTAAAAAAACAACAACAAAGGTCTGTGGTATTTCACCCCTGAGGAGAATTTTGTTTTCTCTGAAAATTGCATTTCAAGATATTTGGATGAAAAGTTTTTCAAAGGAGTATCCTATATAGGAGAAATTGAAACCTTACAGCAAAGATTAGATAGATTTAGAAGCGTGTTATTTTTTGTCCCGCTGTTTATGGTCGTCGATCGCGTTGGTCTCGGTGCATAAGCGTGCAAAACTTCAAGCAACCCCCACGCGTTCCTCCCGGCTATGGTCGACGCATTCAGCGGAGGGACTTTTCTTCGATGACGTCGTCTTCTGCGGTGCTGCTCGCCGGACTGTTGGTAATTTTGGATCGTGCTATTTATACGCGGCAAGCGAGATGCCGGAAAGACGCGAAGAGAAAGAGAAAGAGGACGAGGACGAGGACGGCGGAGGCTGGCAGAACGAGAGCCAACCTGCTTTGTCGACGGAAGCATTCCACGC